CATTTTTTTTCCTTCCACGACAGCTGGAGAAAATTTACAAGGGAGGAAAATGGATTCCCTGTGTTCGTTTGATGTGAACAACGAAGAAAGGCACTTCGATACAGTCATGTCTTCGTTAATCTGACTCGAGAAAAAGAATTCACTATATCAGGTTATCACGGATGATAAAAAGTGGGTCATACATGATAATCCGAAACACACAAAGATCACAGATGGACATTGGACCACTGTCAACATCGGCAACGAAATTCAAATATCCACGCCAGAAAATTCCCGTTTCGCGTTGGATGTTTAGTGGAGATATGCGAGGTGTGAGATATATACATGAGCTGTTAAATCTGGGCAGAAAGATTAAAGCGATTCGTTGCCGACAACAGCTCGTAAATTTGAGGGGTGAATCGGAGCGTGCACAAGAGGTCACATATTGACAAAGAAGTCCGCAAAGCGATCCTACTCCGTGACAATGCTCGGCCACACATTGCGAAAGGGACAAAACAGGTCATCTTTAGTTTGGGCTGGGAAGATCTACCGCACCCGGCTTTATTCACCGGTTCCCTCCTTCCACTTCACACCTTCACACTTCTTTCACCTATTTCGGTCGCTGCAACATCATTTGTGCAATACACATTTCAAATAGTACGTTGTACGATGTTGAAAATTGCCTCATCGTGACTTCATCGATCCAAAATTATCGAGTGTTTTCCTCAATGAAATTAAATGATAACCCGAAAGATAGCTTAAATATGATCATCGAGAACAACGGAGGCTGTTTTGACAATTGAAAATGTAACATTTTTCTTTATAGATAAATTTTGAATCTTGTAAGGTATCGAATTAATTTACATACCTGATATATTCGCAAAATATGAAATCATCGACTGAACTATATCCATATCTAGCAGGGAAATTAATAGAAAATTAATATAATTATATGGTCTTAAAAAATCAAACGTAAAGATTATGTAATCTTTCATTTAAAAACTATAATATTGATAATAATAATAATAACAATAATATTAATCATTATATAATAATAATAATAATAATAATAATAATAATAACAATAATAATAATTTCCGATAAGTAACAATCTCACATACTGCATTTTTCGGTAGACAGTTAATGAGCTTACTTCTTCCTTCTTCATTAAGAATGCTGTGTGAGCAATTTTTTCAATATACTCTAGTCTCGTACAGCGATTATTGCAAGTCAGCGTCCGGTAAAATTCCAAGACTACTTTTTATATTGAAACATGAGTAGCGCTTCACACTTAACATCATGATTGAATAGTTCAGTAGAGTTTATTTTACTTTTTCGAACAAATACCGAAATTCCCGATAAATAGGAAACATCAACACCCTGAAACTCTCAAAAATATCGCGGTTGAAAGTTATTCTCGTCAAGCTGACTCTCTCTCCCCCTCCCGCGGCATCCTGAACGTCAAAACAATTCGCACTTATTGCAACATTTAGTATAGCTCATGCGTTAATTAGCTTAACTGCTCTAGTCCCAAGTTTTACGCTCCAACCGTCTAACAGGGAATCGCGATAAAAAAGGAGGATTGGCTCAACGTCCAACTATGTGTGCGCCGGGATGATCACAAACAATAGCTGTTGTGTTTGATAGATCGAAAGAAATTTATCGTAATATTTAGGCACACTGAAAAACGAATAATCGGCAACAAGTACTAAAATTTGATGAATATTTGCCGACCAAGCACTCGCATTACCGCGACCAAAATAATTCAGTTCTACAGCACCGGTAATTCCGTTATATATTGTGTATTTAGCATACGGTACTAAATTATTCGGTTACGGTAGTCAAATGTTTCATCGGCAAATATTCACCGAATTTCACTAACTCATTGGGCAAATCCTTCTTTCGGTGCATGCTCCCGATTTTCCGGGTCATTTGGCGATACTAATAACTAACCGGTAGTTCGCAGTCAGCATCTTATACGGCGTGAAATGCACATTGCAGTCACATTGAGCGAGACACGCCGTATGACAGTAGTTAGCCTACATACACGCGGTAATTCACAAAAGGACTCGGTAATGCAAACGGTAACTGGGACTCCGTGGCCTCGTTCAAGGCCGGTCCTCGTTACGGTACTAACTCCCGTCTACTGTTCAACTCCTCGATTTCTTCGTGCGTTCGACTTTGCGGGGATGCCTCGGTGCAATTTTGCGCCGCGCACGCACACGTGGTTGCCCCGGACGGACGCTTGGGGAAAATATGCAAGCTGTGCTCTTCATTCAAGGTCGCGAGTGATAAAGATCCTACTCTCTCGGCGCCGTTTGGCACCTCGTCGGTGCACCGTGTATCTTTCTCGCGCTACGTAAGACAACAGCGAGATGAGAACGACGCGTCCACTTAATATTGGCCTGATTCCTTCGTATCGCAGTTTACGTTGCCGAAGGTGAAGTGGGCGCAAGCTGGGTGCACAACGCGGGTGAACGAGCGCGCCATTGTGCATCGCTTACACTCGCGAGACACGTGAGGTAATATTTAGCGAGTATCTTATATAAATGGAACGTGAGGAATTTGGAATCGGACCCTCGAATCAGAATGCCGACGTGTAATATTACGAATTGCGAATAAAAGCCGGTTGCTCGTCATAAATCAAATTGGATCGGATATCGTTGATAAATTACAGTGATCACATTCATCGCAATCAGTGGACACTCATCGATGATTTCGTGCATATGAATGTTATTTCTTTCGCATTATTATTAATTATAAAAACGTAACGAGACAAATGACATAACGTGCATTATTGTTATTATTGATATTCGAACCGAAATATTGAGTTCCTCGATAAAGAATACGGCCTTATCTTATACGAGCTCGGCAAATGATTCGGACGCAGCGCAAAGCAAACGATAAGATATCAGCGAAAGATGCGTATGAAATGCCAATGGAGACCAAGTATACCGAGTGTTTTAAAAACCTGACTGCTTCTGCATCATTCATCGACTGTCTAAGAATGAAACGTTATTTTATATAAATAAATAAATAAATAAATAAATAAATAAGTAAATATATATATAAATATATACTCGGGGGGAAAAAAGATAATGTATAAAATTTGCTAATATATGATTATAAATAATCATATGTGTCCATAACGAAAAAATACTGTTGTTTACAAAATATATGCAAATGAAGTAAATGTTTCTAGCCATTTGTGCTTTTGACAGCACATGATGTCGACATTGAATTAAATGACATAACATCATTTTTTTCATATAAACATATATGGTCATATATGTAGCCACATTCATATATATATATATATATATATATATATATATTCAAAACTCACGGATACTAAGAAGCAATTTTTGATCAGATAACTTTAGGTTCGTAGATTAATTTCCTTATTTCATTTCTTCACTCTACATTCTAAAAAAATCTTACAGATATGTTTGTATTTATTATTTAGTCACTTGCATGATTGTGCTGAGCCAATATAAAGCTCAGCATACCGAGCTACTGAAAGCGCGCGACAACGCGATACTTTCCAGCGATAAAGTTGATGATAATTGAGAACCGTGACGTTTATGAATAATGCCATGACGTGTACTTAATCAGTGATGATAAATAATTGATAATCTTTGTGCGCCTACGTAACTTTATAATGTGTGTAGAACGTGCAAATGTCAGTTGCATTTATAATTCAATAGAATTTAGATTATTCAACCTTTGCGATATGGAGTCACGTTTATATCCTTACGTAACAATTAGCTGATGGAGGGCCAAATAATTCATTAGTTTGGCGGAGACAGTGATCTCCCCGCGCATTGTGTATATTTAGGCTAAACTTTTTTTCCAGTCGGTATTTTACACTCTCACTTCGTTTACCTTGGGATCTCGATGTTGAGAAGCGTAGCACGTAATTTCGAACGTAGAATAAATTTGGGTTAAGGTCTCGACGCCACGAATATTGGCAACTGAATACTTCGCTTTTCGAAGCGGCGAATAGAATTGTGGCGGAAAGTCCATTGCAATTATTTCAGTTATAATAAGAAATTGTGTCTACGTATACATAGAAAATGATTCATCTGAAATTTGCGTCCAAACTGATTTTTGTTTCAAACTGAGCATTTTTTGGGGGGAAAAAAATGTTTCAAATAAACGTTTTATAATATTGAGCGACATATCGAATGGTTATTTTGTTTTACAGTTTTAAAGTTTCGGGAAAAACTCCGTTTTTCTCCTCATTTTTCCGTGGATTTCTTCACTTTCCGTCTCGAGAGTACGAAAACTTGTTGTAGAAAAATTCACAGGTTCGCTTAAAACTTGTCACATTTAATTTTTCCCGTAAAGAAGATTAAAGACTCCCCCCCAAAAAATCTGCGGAAAAAATGAGGAAAAACGAGCTCTATTCCGAAATTTTTTAACTATATTTTATTTAATCTCGTGTCAGTCAGATTCGAATTAAAAATATAATATTTCAGTTGTGAAAGTAATCCTTATAATTGGAAGCAATCCTACTAACTCATTGCGAAGTCACCCGACCTTAATCGTCATCGCATGAAATTATTTCAAACTTCCGCTCGTAACGATTTCAGTGACAACTACAAAAATTCCAGAAATCAACAATTGTTTGCTCTCATTCCCTCCCGAGTTTATTTATATCCTCCCTCCGTTTCCCCCATCGAGACCAAGCAAATAAGCGCTTCCCGAAACAACAAAAGTATTAATGATCACAAATACGAAACGATAATAATTTGATTTTTCATTGTCCCGAGCCTTCATATCCTCCGCGTCTTTCGGGAGGGAAAAGCTAGAAGAAAGCTCGAATCGGGCAAACTGGCGTGCACAAAGAGGATCGGTGGCGAGGACGTAAATAAGCGCGCGCGAGCAGTGCGAATCCGGCGTCCGGTGGAAAAGTGAGAGCTACCCGCGGCCGGCTGGCGGCGAGGTATTTCTCGACGACGAAAGTCCGACTTCCACCGTGACCGTCGCCGGGCGAGTCGAGGGACGAGCATGCTCACCTTAATGATCTTGTACTTCTTCTTGGTCGCCTGATTTAGGTCCTCGTGCACCTTGTCGAGCAGCCAGAGCAGGAATTCCTGAGCGTCGTGCTGGAGATTGCCCCGGTACTGGCTGCCGTACTTGTCCACGACGCTCTTGAACGCGGTGCTCATCTCCGGATCGTACTGGCAGCTCCAGATCGCCTTGAGCAGCAGCGCCAGCTGCTCGGTGATCTCGCCCTTGGTGCCGTACTTCTTCGAGTTGATCTTGTTGCGGCGCGACAGGTCGACCTTGTACTGATCCAGCACGAAGTACTCGGCGAGGATGTCGGTGTGCGACAGGCACTGCAGCACGGCGTTCATGAAGCACGTGTTGCCGTGGTTGCGCAGGCCTATGACACCCGGTACCCGGTCGGCCGGTATGTGGGCCGGCCGCGGCGGCGGCACCCTGATGTCGCCCGCGCTCGAACCGAGGTCGTCGCCGCGCTGGTGGTGCGACGTGGCCTTGTAGCTCTGCGCGCCCATGCTCGACATGTGCCGCACCATCTTGTTGATGAACTTCTTCCAGGAGGGCCGGCGGAAGACCTTCTTGCCGCACGGCCGTTCCTGGCAGTCCTGCCCGCCGTACAGCCGAGCCGTCGCGTTCGGCCGTTGCTGCTGCTGCTGCCCGCCGCCGTTACTTCTCGTGTTCTCTTTGCCGGACGGCGCGCCGACGTCCGCCTTGGTGTCGCCGCGGGTCTGCTGCTGCTGCTTCGGCCGTCGTCGCGACATCCTGCTGCTGGCACTTTGAAACGGGTTTCTCGGCAGTGTAAAAGTACGCTTCAGCCGCGATGACGGGCCGCGCGACGACTCGACGAATTTCACCTTTTCCTCCAGCTCACCCTCGGACACTGATTTCATCACCGTGATGCCGCGATCCGCGGCGTTCATCGCCAGCCACCGCCAGCCCCGCGAAAGTCCACGCTCGGCTTATGTGGAAGCGTTGGCGGTCGCCGAGGCTCACATCGCTGCTACCGCACACCAGCTCGATGAGGACGACGGCGAGGACACGGGAGCGACGGCGACGACGAGCTGGCCGGCCGACGGCGATCTCGAGGACGACACGACACGCACGTACGCGGCACTTGTGCACGCCGTGTGCGCCTACGCGTACCCGTGGCCGAACGTCATGCGCGTAACGAGTTGTCACACTGAAACAACACGGCGGCCAACGGCGGCCATTTGCCGCTATCACGAGCTTCCATGATTTCACAACGCCTCGGCCACGGGCAATCGGTAACGTTGGCGGCCGACAGCCGCGCAACCGCCGAATCCCGCCGTCGAGCCATCTCGCGTGAGAAATCCCGCACTGGCGACGCGACGCGATGTTCGCTTTGTACCGCTGGTGGAGTTCGTAGATCCCGTTGCTCGGTAAAGTTAGCGAACCAGCGGGAAACCGATATCGATTATCCTCGTCGAGCGGAGGGAGTGAATTCGATAGTCGGAGAACGGTCGATCGAGGTATCAAAACTTGAGGGGGACTTGGGGAAGGTTAATATTCCGCGGTACGCTTATTTTCCCTGCTGTGAACTTCATATGTTTGCCGTCTTGTGCAAATGCAAGCTTTCAGGTTAGAAATATGCGTGTACTCTATATGTAATTTAAATTTAATATATTTAATATTAAATATATTAAATACATATATATGTGTTTTTTACTTCGTAAAAAATATAAATAACACAAATATAGAAGATATGGATACATATTTATTTCATTTTAATTGTAATTTAAGAGAATTGTTCTTGTAATTGAAGGTTATAGCGAAATAATCCGATTTTAATATTTCAGGCTAATCTTGGAGGCAATGGCATTATCACAGCTAATGGTAGCGAGAAAATAAAATTGGAAAATTGATTGGCGATTCTCGTCTCCCATCTTTTTTTACATCTATAAGTAATATAAAATTCTATAGGTGATTAAAACTTGACGTATCTCTGATGGAAATATTATGCTGAAAATTTTACTGAAAATTTTCCCTCAATTGACCCAATTTCACTATCATTCTGTCGACGTATCACCGACTTTTAATTAGGTCCGCTTGAAGAACCCTCGTCAGCGACGGATTTTTTTTCGCTGACGATATGTTTCGGTGAAAGCAATATCATTAAGTCAGAGTTACCTCGCGCATTCTTCGCACAGTCGTTTCCAACATGATTTGCTCGCAGAGAACTTGGTTTGTTCTCAGTATTAGTACGTTTTACCATCTTTCAGCCAGCGTGTCGTATTCCTGGAATTTAGCGTCCCTAAACGTATCGAGTGATGTTTTAATATGGAAATATGCCGTGTGGAAAAATCGAGCTTTTCTTACGATTCCCAGATAGGTGAATAAAATGCAAATAATCTACCGTGCCTGCTTGATTTGCCTTCCGATTTAGCGCCGCGTCCTTCGTGAACCGGAATATTTATGAAATGACCGTCGGAAATAAATCCGCGAAGGACGTTAACTCGGAAGCTAAATCAAATATTTGTCGTTACCGGGAAAGCCTGAAACATCAAACCTATAGGTCACAGTTGATAATCATATGATACGATATAATGAAACAATAATCTTATGGAGTTATATTGTTTTTCTGTGACTAATATAAAAAATGATAAAAAATAATAAAAAAAAACATTCTCGTATCAATATTCCACCTACCGACAGTTTATGTTATTGACAGCTCAGCTAATTTTATCTCAGTTAATTTCTTCCAGTTATGCGTAAATATTGCATAAACTACAGCAAATCGTATTAATAAGCTAATTACATTTATAACTCTATTAATCATTAAATGTGACAATTAATGTTTCATAATATAGTAATTTTATTAATTTCTGTTAATATCAGTTGATTGCTATAATCTATGCGGTATTTCGACATAATGAAAAAACGAAATGAGCTGAGCAATAAGAGTCGATATCGATCGAACTGTCAGTACAGTTGAATATGATCGTATATGTGTAGCATTGTGAGCCTGAGTACGCGCAAAATCTACACACGCACAGTCGGTGGATAAAAAGTTGCAACACTTTTACCTTGGTGAGTTTCGCAACGCATTTACAATAAGCTATCTGTTAACAGTCTGACGATAGACCGGCGACAGATCGAGACGCGATCTGTTGACAGAGTCCCAGTCATTCGTGCCTGTAATCTGTTGTTCCGTTGACAGCCTGCTGGTGGAATCTGATTGCAGAACGGCGACAGAAAGCGAGCAGGATCTGCGGAATATTCCATTTAAATTAAATTCCATTTAAATACATTGGAACATTAGATCCTGCTCGATTTCTGCCGTTAGTTTGTTATCATACACCGTCATCAGATCCTGTTGTATTTTTGCCAATAAGCTGCTTACAGAGTCCACAGCAGATATTACGCTAAATCTGTTTTCTGCAGGCTTGGCTATCCGGCGATTCTGTATTAAATAAGAGAATTTATTTGTTTGTTTTTTTTTTCTTCAGTAATTCTCAGAAGAGATGCATTTTCTTGCCGGCTGCGGAATGCGTTGCGAAACTTATCAAGATGAAAACGTTACAATCTTTTGATTCTATTGATCTACACGATGTCAATGGCATCGTGTGCGTCAATTTTAATCGTCTGTGTCGAGGAAAGTATATTTATATATTGCGGCCACGATATTTCGGTGTATTAATATGATATCTCATGAGATTTTTTATTTGTATTGACCTCTGAAATATAATGTTCAAATATGTCAAGATATTTGCGGATACCTTATACATTAAACGTATATTTGAATAATAGAGCAGCAAGCGAAGAGAAGGATAAATATATACCAACTTTAGTAGAAGTTCCTTGGCCAGAAATTAATTTACTAGTCGCAAATACGGCAAACGTGGTACCTTTTTCTAAGAGGGGATCAGCGAAACACCATTACGCGACTTTTATGTCTGTAACTGGATTAGACGTGGATCCTCGAGGTCGGTTGTGGATTTTAGACGCACCCGATAAAGACGGTTACTAACTTCAGGTCGTGATTTACGATTTAAAACGAAATGACCGATTGGTACTCTATTTTTTCTCTATTTTGCATATTAAGTCATATATTTTATATGTATGGTGAACATAAAGGTTTACAGTTAATTTTCTAACTCTCTAGACTTTATTTCGCGATAAAGCGGAATTAAACAACAAGTAACAAATTTATGAAAAACTTCAAAGGTATCGTCCACCAAACTGATTAATGTATCGCCGAAACATTTAAAAACTCTCGTAATTGATCCGTTTGAAGATCAGTGGGGATCTCGGGGATATATCGCGGATGCTGGCGACGAAACGATTATTGTTTATTGTTTAGGTAATTTATATATTTATGAACAGAACCCAGTAAGTGCAAGAAACATTAAGTCGATCTTTTGAAACATTGATTTTGTGTGGATTTTATAAACATTTTGACATAATATTTTATAAATGTTACTAAACTGTCACTTGATAACATATATTTTTTTTAATATTAAAATTATATTGTAGAAACATTATTTTTAATATTTCGATTGAATATTGTTAACAGTAACGTTGTATACAATATTAAGAACTACGTATTTGAAAACGTTACATGTTATAAAATATCAATATAACAACGTTAACGATTTCTTGCTTACTGGAAAGTTGCGCATGGTATTATGAAATACTCTTTTATCTATTTACGTGTATTAATGACAAACTAATTGCAGGACAAGACAAGTGGTGGAAATTGAAGATGACGCACGGACCTGAAGTTCCTCGCGTGTATTCCTCCGACCTTGCTGTTTCTCGAAAAAATGCGATTCTACACATGACAGGCCATAACACGCACAATCTGTTCAGTATAAATTTGAAGAACATTAGGACCAGCCAAGCATTTCATACAGTGCCCTCATATGTACGTCTTAGACTACTTGTTCCGAAAATATTTATTTTATATTACCTCTAATATTAAACATGATCACGCGTATCTGTACAGTTTTAAGTTTTGACGAAGTAAAAATACATTTGACATGGGAAACTTATCGCGATTAGTAAAATCAATCTTCTAAACGTTAAATAATTGTGCAAAAAAGGAACTTTCTATGAATTATTCTACGTGATATTATTCTAGAGTGTACAAAATATAACAATGGCATGGCTTAGAAAGAAACTGGGCTCTTCTGTCGGTCTATTCTGCGATTTAAAAGATGGTCTACACTACTTTTTAACTTTGGATAGAGCCAGTGTGCGATGGGATACCAAGTCTCCCATAAGTGTAAATTGTTTAATTTAATTTTCTTGTTTTCTTTTTTTATCTAATAGTATGACTATAAACAGTTGATTAATCAATTTTTAGGCGGAGAGTCATTCGATCTCGATACAAAGCAACAACATTCCGTGGATAACGAATTATGTAATGGATGCACAAAAATCCATATGGGTTCTGGTGAATTTGGATTGTTCCGATGACATGATAAAGCCAAATGTTACGGAAAAATCCAGATTTAGATTTAGAACTGTCAGGATTCCAAAATATCCTTTAGCATCATAATTAACGCAACAATTGTATTCGTATAATTCGCCTAATTTTTATATGACTTTTGTGTAGCTTGTTATTATTAATATAATCATCTCTTTTTCATCCATTCTCTTTTCTCAAGTTTAATTTTTTTTAATTTCCTGGTTCAGTCTTAAATTATTTTAAAGTGGTATTCATTTTAATTCTTTAATTCATAATAATAATAATTTATATATAATAATAATTTTATTTTGCAAACTGATCAAAGGATTTACGTGCAAAAAACATAGGATAATTTTAAGGAATTCTGTATTTTCCAGAAGCGGATACATTAAGCATATCCGTATATTGGGTTACGTAAGACAGCACGTGTTTTTGTATTGTTTTCGTATGCATTTACATAAGCTTACGTTTATTAGTCGTTTGAGTCAACTTATATAACAGTGATTAAGATGTTACAATCAATGGTATGTATATTGCTAACATTAAGTTACTCTTTCTATTTTTTTTCTTCTTTTTGATTTTGTATACCAGCTATCGATCATTAGAAAGATGAATCATCGCAAAGTTTAGAAATTCGCGTTGAAAATTGGCAACCATTTTGCACTTAGGTGTCAACGATATAATTAATTTTGGCACTGGTCAACTTGTCCAATTGTGCTACTTAAATCGTGCAGCGCGCATAAAATGATTTTTATGGAAATATTTTCAGACAATCAAAATTACAATAATTATGACTGAATTACATCTGCTAATTATCTGTGCTATTGAAAAGAAATCCTTCAAACGTATATATTAATTTGAAGAGATTTGTAGAGATTTTAGAGTTTCTATCCAAGTAGTTTAAAACTCAGAATGCTGTTGATTATATGACTAGATTAGCGACAAAACGATCGAAAAGAAGTTTCCACATCGATGAAACTTTCATATTTCTATCTTTTTAATATTTAGCAATAATCGAGATTCTTGGACTTGTAACGATGAATGTTATTATATAATTGGAATAACTAAAAGAATATGTTTGATTGTGGTACAATTTTTACAGAAATCTAAAAAAATGAAATTAATATAAATATGCGAAGTTTTCAATGTTCGATGCTGTAAATGTGGAAAATGTACCTTTTACGCTAATTGTCGTGTTTTTACTGCCGCAAAGAGACACAGGCATCATTGCATGTGTATATCTATACATCCGTCGCATCGGATGGACAGATTTTGAACTTGTTGAAATCATCGATTTGAACTCCCCCTTATGTTCAACATCGATCGAATTGCGCGACGAATGTGACAGCGAAAGTCAGAGTCACAGAAGGAGGAAACTCAAGATTCATGAGACTTTATTCTTCGCAAGTCTTAACTAAGGGATGAATGGTCACTGACGCACCGGCGCAACTCACGGTGTTCTGTATATAATCTTGGAAATTGCTCTCGATCACCCACATGAGTCTCTTGTAACCAGGGACGACTTGTGTCGGTAGCTGACAATCGTTGCCGCTCTCTACCAGAAGGAAGTTCTCAGGTTTGAACAATGTCTCGGTGTTCCACATGTAGACATCCGACTCGCCTGGAATTGAGTGATTTATTCGTATTGAGGTCAGGTGTCGAGATTAAAATAAATTAAAACCAATTAAATGTTCCAAGATCTACATGATTCGTTGGACGGAGAACGTAAACGCCATTTTGAGAAACAGATGGTACTTCACTTTATTTAAATCAAGTATTATTTATTTAAACTGAATAAACATTACTCGGTTTAAATAAAGATAATTTAAATTTAAGTAAATATCGTGTAAGGACCCATCGAAGAAGTATTCGTTTGTTTGTAGATATTTTTTTCTCAGTGTACCGACATTCAAATTACGTTAAATCTTCTACACGAAATACGAAGAGTTACCTTTAAATCGGAAGAAAATCTCGGAGCCATTGTCAGTTCCGAGGAGGACTATCTTGTTCTGTTTTGGTCCAACGTCTACGACCGATCCCTGAGTGTATCCTTTCCTCAAGTTTACGGCCTTGATCGCGAAGAGTTTGTTGGATCCTAAATAGGTAAAGTACAAAATCGACGTGCCGCAGCTTTTTTTCACCAGTGCCAAATAGAGAACGTCTCTTCTCTGGACACCGGCGGTAACAGCGGATGGGAGAACCACTCGGTATCCCTTATCCGCGGTAACGTTGTAAACGATTATGGACCTGGCAGCAGCGTCGGCCACGTACACGTACACTTGACCGTCTTCCGCGTAATCGACTTCCAGATATTGCAAACGGGACAACGGATTCACCAAGGGACTCAGGTCGATTACCTTCACGACCTGCGAAAGATCAAGGCCAAGATTTTTATGCGAATCGTTTTGCTTTAAGAACGACACATTCCCAGTACAAGCAGGGAAACATTAAATTAACGTTTGGAACCGTTACCCAACATTGGGCAACGGTTAGCCGAGCAATTTGTGGTGCTCGAGGTACGACAGCATAGAATTAACATCACGAATTGGAAAAGCAGATATGATCTCTAACCTTTTTCAATTTCTAATTGTGTATGTTCTGCTATACCTTTCCGGATTTCACGTTGATACCGACGACCTTCGGAGAACACCTTCGCACCGGCTGCTCCAAAGTGTTGACGATACCGACGTCCAGCGCCCACAGGATGTCCTGAACATCAAGAGCTATGTCCACCACACTCTGCAAGGCCTCACAGTTACCCTCCTCCTGGATCGCCCAGCACGGAAAAGGTGTCACTTTCGGCGCGCAGTTCTTCGTTTTCAAGGACACGACGCCTAAAGTGAACGGCACGCCGGGCTTGTAGCGCGGCATCGCCACGATGGCGTCCTCCTTGTAGATCTGCATCCTCGTGGAAATGATGTTTCTGGAGATGTAACGCCCGCTGGTCTCGTAGATGTTTTTCGTGCTCTGACATGGCCAGTCCAAGCTTTGCCCTGACAAACTAAACGACAGATCCGGCAATACTTGCTTGTCGCACAAAACTATCGACAAACCACTCGCCAGGATCGCCACGCACAGAGCGTTCATCGGGATCCGCCTCATCCTGCGCTCGCTTCTTGTAATCCGATGTTCTACGAGTACACAATGAAAATTTGCCAACATATCGCTTCCATCTGTCCTACAAATATGAGACTGAAGAGTTTCTCTCATTATTTCTCGAGAAATAATTGCCAAAGTTTATGATACACACAGTATGCTGACGCAAAAGTTTATTTCGTTTTTAATCAGTTCTCCGCTCAGAAATCCCAACATTTCTGTCGGAGAAATGGCAGGTCGTCGAACAAAGTGGCGCATATTTAATTGATTGATTGTATCTTGAAGTAAATAAATATTGTATGCACATGTTGATTAAAAAACGAAACGGACTTTGTATCAGTCTGGTATTTAAAATTACGCGCTGACAAATTGATGCGCTGACAGTAAATGACGTAAAGTTGCGGCGGAGAGGTGTGAAAACTTACAAGATTTCTCGTGCAATCAGTTGGGCGATAATCTTTGAATGTGCGTATCTTTTATACGTCTTTATATTTATACGTGCGTGTTGATTATGTACCGACGGAAACTGCTTACGATTTTATTGCACATTACTACCTCCTCATTCAGTATTTTGCAACGATTTTCCTGCTTCGAACTTGGCCGAATTTGTAAAGAGGAAATACCTCGCGATACGTATTTTTGGTTATTATTAGTAAATAAATGATAAATCCAGGAAGATAAGAGTGGTATCAATAAGCGACGCTTGACCAGGAAATAAATCCCATAAAACAGGAAATACTTCGCTTCATTTACGAGTATTACATTCGGGATTTTCGTTTCCTGTTACTACGTACATATAATCCTTTCCTTCTTCCTACTTCCTTTAGAATTACATATCTTTCTTTAATCGTTTCTTATACCATTCTTTATTATTGTAATTAACATATCTATTCTCTCTCCAGTTTTTTTATCTCAAAATATAAATAATTACATTGCCAAAATCAAAATAATCGAGAAAATAGGATCGTTGTTGTAGAAAACATTTTTCATACAATTTCTGCTATTATTAATAGACTGAAAGTAAATTAATAGACAGAAGGATGTAACCCCCCCTCCAAGGCTATTTTTATATTATTGTAGTTTTCATGATTTATCTTACATTTTTCTCTATAACAGAAACAAATAAATACTATCGTGCTTATTTTCTACATACTATTGATTTTTTTTAACCATTTTTTATCATTACAACTGAGATTATTATTAAGGAAGGATAGGAAGAAGCCTCGTGTCAAACCATTGCGCGTCACGGCCAAATATTTTCCCAACCGGGACATTTCGTAACGCTGCCTCGATGTGACAGGATTATAAAACTGGTGCAATCCGGAGGATCTTCCAGTTTATTCGAATCAATTCGACCGACAAAAGAGACGCGTATCGAGGTGCGTGTCCGTCGGAAGGGGAAGTTCACGTAAAGGGCAGTAAAAATGCTTTCTTCACTGGCGGTGACGTTTATTGTCGCCGTCGCTCTCGTCGGAGGCAATGATTTAACAAAGTGTGATAGGAATCTTATATGGACCGGCGGGTCCTTCGAATGGCCTTGCCCAGCCACAAAGAGCATGTTCAAGAACAGCGGCCGTTACATTTCGAAGAATGTTCTCGCCACCAGAACAGCAATTTACAAGGACGACGCTTTCCTTGTTTTACCTAGGTATGAGAATACTTTGCATATAGATAGGGATTTCATAATTTCATTTTTCATAATTTTATTTTATACCTGTAAATATATATTTCGGCAACGAGGTCAGATTTGTTAAAGAAAAGGACTGGCGGAAGCGACATCACTAGTCATTGTATTGTACGTAAGTTAAATCGTACGTTTCTTTATCGTGATATTTAAAAGAAATGTTTAAGATATAGACTTTTATACATATTTATTTTCTAATTGACTCGGCTCGACGGAATTGCGTTTTCCTTTCTGATTACCTACGCATTGGGAGCAACCGCATTCTTCGGTAGGATCACTAATCCAGTTGGAGGCTTACGTCGAATTAAACGAGAGCTCGGTACAGGAAAAGTACGGTTGTTACGAATCGTGTTACGTCAATAACGGTCAATACACGCATTGCCAATGTCGGTTGTGGGAGCAGTCAAGTTGACTCGACGTGAAAGTTCGTAAACTGTTGCGATAATCATAGTCTTTAGAAGCGGGGAATAGAGGTGTGCGAATCAAGTTTCTGCGTGGTCGAAATCGAGTCGGATCTTTGATAATATGTTCGAAATTGAAGTCGAATCGAGTCTAAACTTTTCATTTCGCCGATGAAATCGAAATTACCGAATTCGATTTTTTTAGATTCGAAAATGGACTCGAATCGAATCGACAGTAATTCGATTCGATTGCGAATTCGAACGATTGCACACCTTTATCGGGGAAAATTAAATTGTCAGTTCACACGTTTTAGAAAAAAAGAACGGCTGCCTTTGGCAGAATAAAGCATTCAAAATGAACAATTAGTAATTCATACATCTGATTGGTTAAATCTTAGCGTATTCGTATAGCAATTAGATTTGCGAATCACTGATTACTAAGCTTTTCGTTCCATTGAACGTAGTCATTGGTTCTTATTTAAACTTCTTAAACGTAGATCAATAGGGTGAATACAATTCGTTAGGGTTTCCTGCGATTCTCAAACCTAATTGTACAATGTTACGGCATATCACAAGTAGCAAGATATCCTCTAAATGACGGTATTTTTGGCCATTCTTCTCACAATAAGTGACATAAAAGCGACGTGCTTTTGTCTCATCCCTGTGATCATGCGAAGAGACGTGTCATTTTCTTTCTCCGCCACCGCTAGATTTTATCAGTAAGCGTTAAGTTAGACCAAGATAGATTACCTGTGGTACTTTCTAATCAAGTCTTCACGGTCTCTTATGGAAGCGCTTTCAGTCTATTTATGTAAATCTACGGTATAGGCACAAGGCCCAAAGGCACGTGCCGCATGCTGCATCATTAATTTCGCCTAAGAACGTACAAGGTTAACACTCGTAATTCGTAAACCGTGTTATTTTTAGAGCAATTAATTTAAGAATGCTGACAAATCTCTCATTCAGGCATATTTGCAAGTATCTCTTTTTGCTATCTATTAGATTATATATAATTATATAATATCTATATATAATTATATATTATATTATATTATATTATATAATTATCTAATAAATTATAATCAAGCGGTAATTATAAAACATGACTGCTTCGCGACATATATAATGAATATATTTCCAGAAGTGTTATATGTTTATATTGTTAATTTATTATTTATTATATTATTATATTATTATATTATTTATTATATTAATTCACCGCACGTACATATTATTATTGTGAAATCACGGGTACAACTTTTGTGAAATACACGTAAATGATTTTCACTTATTCATGAGATTGCAAATACAAAACCATGTGTTGCATGAAATACATAAGTATACAATTTTCATCAATTGTTACATTAATGTTTTAATTTTATAGCGTTTCAATTACAAAAAATAATGATATCTTTAAATAAATATACATTGAAATTGTTACAAAGATCTTATTTCGGTATGATATTTCTCGAAAAATTGGTAAAATTGTGAAGAAGTGACTGGTGATGTCTTTAGAGCCGACGATGATACTAACGTGTGTTTGAAACGTTTCTCTAGGTTTAAACCTGGCGTGCCAGTGACCCTAGCCAGGGTATCTTTTAAAGATAAGAATTGCCAGGCCAGTCTCCAACCTTATCCTTGTTGGTCGCTTCAAGAAGAGGGAACATGCTCAGCGTTGCAAAACGCTGTGGACCTTTATTTGGATCCTCAGGATATCCTGTGGGTATTGGACACCGGCATAGTAAATTCTCTCGAAGAGCCCGTACGCAAATGTCCGCCGAAGGTTGTCGCTCTGAACGTAAAGACCGGCAAGGTGAGATAATACACTTCTAAAATGTGCAATATAAAGCAGGAAATAGCTTGTAGCGCATCTCGTGCTTTTCTCTTTTCTTTGAGGAAATAATTATTATAATTAATATAATTAATTAATAATAATTGTTGGGGGGAGCGTTCATATAAAAACGAGACGAATGCTTTTACTTTTTAGAAGGAAACAAAGAAGCAAAAAGTAATATAAGATACGAGAAAAGCATTCGTTTTAAAATGAAATTAGGAAGTAAATTTGTATTTACATAATACATAAACGTTAATTTTCATCGATTCAGTTATTTTTGTAATATCTGCTAAAACTGTTTGCTTATACATAGACGCAAATGTTCCGATATATTTATTCAAAATTTTCATGTCTTTTCGCACAATAACACACAGATAAAGTAATCAGAAGAACTGTTTGTTGTCCCGATTGTTCCATTTGTTGTCCCGATTTGCTTCGGCTTGTCTATATACGGTTTTTATTAGTTGCACTATTTATATACGCATTTGCGTTACACACTCGTTTCGCTTTTCTTTTTTACCTTTCGCAAAAGTTACACAACACACGAACATGAATTTTAATAATGCTCTTTTCACCGTGACGAACGGCCGCGAAACGTTCGATTAAGATGCAACTTTTTCCCTTACATTATGTCATAATTGGGCTATTGTTGTGTAAAGTGGACACGACATGTAGATATAATTAATAATCCAAATTAAAGGGGGTCCCCGAAGCGAGCAGAAAAATTAAATATTTTCTATATATTAAATCTATATGACATTGATAGATCTTTTACAGAAAATTCTTTGCGCGCGATTAATTACGACTTGGCTCTTACTATCTCTTTTATTTGTTTCTTGATTTCCTTTAGTCATAACCAAATAAGAATTAGTCCGATAAATACACACATAATTCATCGAATTAAGGTCAAACCGACGTCGATCTGACGTCAATATGACGTCGATTCGACGTACGCTTCTCACTGGGGTAGATTCATCATCTTTCAAATATTTGTTCTCTCTTCACGTTGTCTTTCAATTACGCGATGTAACGCGTAACAAAACAACGTGACGGGACGTTTCTCTTCTAGCTGATGAAAAGCGTCGATCTGTCCGGCCTGACCAGCCCCTCGTCGCGGCTGCAGTACGTCGTCGCGGACTACAATCCGGACGGCCATGTCTTCATCTATATATCTGACGCAGCCACACGAGCGATCCTGGTGTACGACGTGACTTCCGACCGAGGATATCGCGTCGTCCTTCCACAGGCTGTGACCATGAATTGCTCTCGCCGAGATGTACTGTACCTTGCTCTGATGCGCCATCAAGACGGTAGCACTTGCCTGATCTTCACGTACTTGGGCAGCAGCCGGCTGTTCTCCATTCGAACGGACCACCTCCGGAGCGGATCCGCTCACGGCAAGATACACGATCTCGGGCCGAAACCCAAGCGAATGATAATCCTCGGCACGGACAACGGCAGCGCGCTCTTCTGCCGGTTCGAAGGCGGGGCCGACGTCTACAGATGGGATACCATCACACCATTCGTACCCGCTAATGTTCAGCAGGTCTACAAGAGCCACGAATGCAACCTGGTCACACACGTAGCGGCCGATTACAAGAGAGGTCGAATGCGCGTGCTGGAGAGCAATTTCGCGGATTACATGCAGGGCACTGTCGGCTGCGGGGCTAATCACGCGTTGAATCTCATGTAGAGTGAGGTGTTCTCGCCTCGCTGACTCGTGAATGTAATTAGTCAAGGAGGAGAGTCGTTCGAACGTTATCGTCGGCATGCGTGTGCGCGGATAACAGTGACAGGTGGCTTCTCAGTTCCATGTCGATCGACACGGGTTCACGAATCGATCGGGAAGTCTAGTCGAGATCGTGTAGAAGTCAATGCCGATTTGATATTTACAATACTTCATCGCCATATCTAGAAGACGTTATGTAAATGCTGACGATCTAGTCGTTACTCAAGACAAAATGATTATATATGATTATATATAATTATATAAAATCATCTGTGAATTTTGTCCATATATGTGGTTACATATATGATTATATATGTCTATACGAAAAAAACGATGTCGATATCACGTGCTGTTAGAAGCACAAGTAGCCAGAAGCATTTACTTCGATTGTATTTGCATATAATTTGTAAACAACAGTTTTTTATTGAGACATATATGATTATATATGGTCATATATATGATTATATATGGTCATATATGGGTCATAAATTTCATATATGATCCTTTTTTTACCGGCTATCCAATTTATAGCATGTCCACATTAAACTGATATATTGATGTAACGGTACGATTTGAATATGATACCAACTAAATAACAACTAGATCGTCAATAAGTGGTCGACATCTATATGATGTCTTCTACATATCATATAGATAGTTAGATATTACCGATAGCTAGATACTATAGATAGCTAAATACTATTGACTATACCTGATATTAACAAAATGTCACACAAAACTGTCGCTAATGTAGCGTCGGTCCTTCTTTATATCAGTGAAAAATCGAATAATTATTAAATCAAACGGTCCGAAAAATCCAATCATCGATTTGCGAGCCCGGGGAGACTAACATTAATAAGATAAGTCGGACATTTTGCGTACGGCGCAACACCTTTAGCTAATTATCGTATCTCCGTTGTAAATATATGTATAAAGATTAATTTCTGCGGCCGTGGCATCGAAGTTACGAACTCACCGTGATTATTTCGATTCCCTTTCGATCCTGACTACGCAACAACTCAAACGGTCAACGAAATGTCAATCGCTGATATTTTCTTTCTCCCTTTCTCAGTGAAGCAATAAACATATAAAAATTCGGTATTTTTTTATGTTAATTTTGTCCTTGCACGCTCAATTTGCGCGCTCTCGGTGTCTCCGATATAAATCTTGTGTTGGAAATTGAATTTTAATTCGCATTAATACCCATTAAAGCCATTCTCTCAATTTGATATTAGTTAATTTTTTTCTAAATAATCAATCGCCCTTTCGAATAATTAATCATAAATCGCATGTCACTTTTTTAGAGATTAATACTTTTAGGACTTTGACTATGTTAAAATTCCATGTATTTCCTTCTTTCATAAATAATGATTGTAATCGGTAATAAATAATGTCTTAACGAAGATAAAGCACTTAATTTTCAACAAGACAATTTGAACAATAGTTTCCCTTTCAGATCTCCATATCTGATTCATGTTTCTGATAATGTTTCATAATGAATATCCGGTTAGCATCTTGATTATCCTGACAGGCACTTTTACGTCGTACTGGAGTGTAAATGATATGCTGAAACGTTCGATGAAAATCGATATTCAAGATCGGATTATCTTCCTGGTCTTACACGACATTCTACGCGAGACGAAAGTTCAAATGTATTTAATTACGGGGTAGATAGATATTTTTTTCATTTTAATTTCCCACGATATCCGAGCTCCGACTTTGAATAACACAGCTTATCAATCTTATTACATTCGATAAAAGCAAATACAGCCGAGTTAAATTTTATCTTCTACTATAGTGCTTTTCAATTGCGATAATTTAAATCTGAATTAAATTATATTACACTTTAAAATGTAACGCAAAATAATAATTCTACATTCCTTAACACGTTCGCTACTGCGTAAATCCAAAGTTGACCAAGTCGGCGTCTCGTTCGCCCTACGTCACTCACTGTCAATCAATGTTCAGTCGTTACACAAGGCACAAGCACGATTTTCTGTACGATTGATTGTATGCTAATTTGCACGTTGCTGTGCGTGCTCCGATACGGACACCTTCGTGCATCGAGCGCGGCAGGCTAGCGTGCATAATTTCCGTGTTCGCTACGATACGATATTTCGTGCTTGCCTACTTGCGTGTATCGATCATTGCACTGGGAGCAATCATGTGATCGAGTTTCATTAGTACATTTAAATCTAGCGTCATGTCGTGTTATAATGTCACCGTCAACGCATCGTTATCTGATGGGTGTGTCGATCGTGCAAAATAACTTTCTCTCTTTCTCCCCTGTGGCGGTGCGCCGCAATATAGAATTACACATATTTAAATTGATATATCACATTGTTTAACATAACCGTAGAAGTTTCTCGCACGAACAAAATCACGTCGATTGATAAGGATCGTTATTTAAATAATAATAATAATAATAATGCATTTATGCTCTTTCAAATCATTAATTCCAGTTTTCATTCCAATCCGCCAATCGAGCTCTGCAGGTTTTGGTGATTAATATATTCACTCGACGTGATAAATCTTAATATCTACGACTTAATGAGCCATTAACGTTAATAAATGTATGTTATGAATATTAATTTTATCTAGAAATGTGATATCGCAAGGAAAGAGTGTCAGACAGCTGAAGAGATAAAGGAAATTAAACCCGAAGGCGTAAATGGTCAACCGATTGGCTCAAAACTCACTTCGGGTTGGCAAAAATCTTGGTCGTTGACGTTACAATGCAGCTCATTGAAAGAGTAATTTAGGCTACTGCCTAAATACCATTTCTCAATTGCCATTTACCAGTTTATTTTATACGGGCGTAAACAAGCATGTACAGATGCATGAAATAACACTGGTAAATCTCGTTACAACCAAAGTAAATTGCCGAGGAGATGTAATCTCGGCGGTAAATATTCGTTAATCACACATCTATCAAACTTTACCAATTAATCACGCATGTGCAATTATATGGGAATTTCAAGCCGTTGGTATTTGCTTGCATACCTCCGTTAGACTTGAGCATGAAATAAATGCCGATACCGCTGAGTCGATTTGATATCGAGGCATTTTTTATGAGATACGAGACACATTACTAATTACGTCGTTCTTCTCGTCAGACTTTTTTGATTTATGCGTATTATGCGACTCTTTTAATTATACGTAAAAAAAAAAATGTGAAATTTTAATTATTCTACTCTACACTATTCTCTGTGTGATTGATTCTTCGTTATTCGAATGAATTGAATTTAAAATAGAATTTGGTAGTGGAATCTCGTTCGTACTTTATATAGCATGTGATACCGCCATACTAGGTAACTACTATCCAGGTTACCTTAGGTTACCAGGTTAAGTTACCTTTTAAAAGCAACTCGTTGCCATTACTCGTTACCTGAAAACCGATGACTCGTTACCGTTATCGTTACTCACGAATTAACGAATCATCACAACTTCCTTCTTCGTCAGGTTTTAAAGACCTCTTTCTTCACGATTCGCCGCCATCCATATATGTGTATTCTACATGTGAAAAATAACAACAAAGGTAACAATTATATTCCATATCATTAATAAAAAAAAATATAATTTCGTTACCATTACTGTTACTAACGAAAGAAAGGATAATAACGTCGTTACCCAGTCAGTGTTGAAGGAAAAGGCAATTCGTAACGGTAACGAATAACTCGTAACTTTTCAATCCTGGTGCTACCTGTATGCAAATATTTCCTATAAATATTCGCTCTTATCCATGCGACAGGACATGAGTTTACGGCTTCGCAGGTTATCGGTTATTCCAATCGTCGTTGCACTATAGTCGACCGACGAATAGTGAGCCGCTTCCGCTTTGTCGTGGGAATGGAGAACAGTTGTGACCGCGCGCTATGGTGTTTCTCGTGTTATTCCACGCGTGGTGTTGAGCAACGACCGAAGTATTCAATCTCCCCACGTTGCACACACGTTGAGCCTGAGTTCGCGATAATTCACCACCACATTAGGTCCCTTTCGCTGAACCAGTGTACATTTACACACTGAGAAAAAGAATATCTAAAAAAACATACCTAAAAAATATCGAAAAGCAAACGAATCGTGGTGGGTCCTTACACGATATTTAATCTTAAATCTAAATTCTCTTCGTTTAAATCGAGCATTATTCTCTCGGTTTAAGTAAATAATAACTAGATTTAAATAAAGTGAATTTAGATTTAAATAAATATCGTGTAAGGAAATATTCGTTTGTCTTTAAATATTTCTTCCCTCAGTGCAGAACTTAAAAGAAAACAGATATGCAATTAAGATTTGATGGGAGAAAAAGGAAAAGAGAATTAATACAAGCTGATGCAGCCAGTTCAGCGAAAAGGAAGAAACCTATTGTGTCTATGCTTATTTGATAAATTATGCATGTTATCCGTAAAAGATCGTGTTACTTAAGTTTCCGATTAAATAATCCCGATTACGTACGTGGTTCGAGCGTTTAGCTAATAACAAGGATCATGAATGCCACGCATGCACACAAACGCACGTGTGAACTTTAAATACAAACAGCTGCCGGTAAGATAAAAACAAAGAGACTAAGAAGAACTAAATTTGCAGCTGTTTGTAAATAAATATACGATAAATATCGATAATAAAGTTTAAATTCTTACCCGAAGATTTACGAGAAGTGTTTCAATCCACGAACACAGAGTTCTCGTTGGCCTTTTTCTTTTTATTCACTTATATATTCAAAAACTTTTATCTTTTTTTTCGGATTTTACTTTGCGATTAGTTGAAAACAAACTTTGGAAAAATGAAATATTTTTATTTCTATTTTATGTACAGTTCTTTTCTTATATCAAGCATCGTTTCCCAACTGACTTATTTTTTATTATTTATGTATTTTCCAAAAATATTTTTCACGTCAAACACATGAAGCACATTGTATATAAAATATACTCGGGAAAAAGAAGATCATATATGAAATTTGCCATATATGATTGTATATAATCATATATGTCTACAACGAAAAAAATATTGTTGTTTACAAATTATATGCAAGTACAGTCGAAGTAAATGCTTCTGACAGCACATGATATCGGCATTTAATTAAGTAACATATCATTTGTTTCGTATGGTATATATGATCATACATGTAACCACATATATGGGCAAAATTCATATATGATTTTGTATATATATATAATTATATATAATCATTTTTTCCAGAGTAGAAAATGCGTGATATCCGCCGAAACTGGTTGTCTCGGAATTATACGAGAAAGTCTTTTCTGAAAAAATTTGTGCCACTGAGTTACACTGAATATGCTGAGTTTTAATAGATCATAAATTTATCCTCGTAAAATGTGCCACGTATACGGTAGCTCGAATTGAAGCATTCGATACGCGAAATACGAAGGCCTTACGGAGTGTAAAGAGTAGAGCAGATCGGTATGCACAGAACGCGAGTTCTGTTTCGCGGAGAGAAAGTGATTTATCGGCTGGATATAAAGGTTAGCATCCTGGAATTTGAGCGCACAAAACACATGTGATGCATCAACCAAAATAATGTACATAAAAATATCCGGTGATTCGTAAGAATATAACTTTCCGAATATCTTCATCTTTTTCTGTGGAACTGTGGAAAATCTATTCATTACGGAGAAAGGAAACACATTTCAAAAGGAACGCATATCGTTCAATTTGCATTCCAATTATTTCTACATGTTTGATGTTGTCCGGATCTCTTTGAAATTTCATGAAAATAAGTTTATTTGGATACAAAAGACACTTTAAGGGAATTGCGACATGTAGAAAATTTTGGCGCTTCTATTATTTAGCCACAAAATTTATAAAGTTAATAGTTGCACGGTGCATCAGAAGATATAACATTATATTAGTTTTACGCGAATTCTGTAAATCTGCTCAAATGAATAATTGAGATTCATCTCAGTCCAACGAAAAGGAAGTAATTTGCTTTGACAGCTATGAATTAAATTTGTTTTTAAATGCCTACGTCGTGTTTTACCTTCACTTCTATACGTTCTACACTGTTCTAAAGATTGAAATTTCCATTTCAATTAATAAAATGCCTTAATGCTAAACATTAAAATGCTAACTTGAAATTATATCATTTTTGCATTAGCACGATGAGAGATAATCCTATAGATTGCTTTATTTTCATTTTCATCTTAGCGGTAAAAGAACAGCTTAATGGGCCGAATGAAATAAATATGTCAGGGAGACAAAAGTTACGAAACAATGATCGCTGGATCAAGATCGTTCAGTTTATTTCTATGGTCGCACCAATACACGCCCAAATGTATCTGTAATAATGGGTGCGGTCTTTAGTTCTGGGCACTTTCGATCGATAGTAGTTCAGCCAAGGACATCTACGTAACGGTTATAATTCTATAGTTCGAACAAGTATTATTTGATAGCATTTTTATAGTGTTTTGTAACGTCATGTTTGTACCGATTTATGTACCGAAGGTACATTGTCAATGCTGTATATCAAGTATCATATAAGCCTTAGCACTTATGTATGTTAGAATAATAAGTTAAGATTTCCTGTAATTTCCAAACCATATCCCCTTTTTGTTACTTACACTAAATTTATTTGTAATAACATATTAAAATGTAGCACGATCCGATGTGTTGTCTGTTATTTAAAGAATGAGATATTTTATTATACATATTATATGACGCGATGTAAGGGGATTTAATTGATAGGTCAAACTGTTGAAATAATTTACTTTTTAATTTATACGTATTTAATACGTATATTTTAGTGCAAGTGTGCAACAATAAGCCCGAATGTCTTAATGGATTGTAATAAATGTCGATAATATGTGAAACAGTACAATACTGTACATATGTACACATAGCAGGTCGCGTTACGCCTCATGCATATTAAAACCATGAAATCCATAATGGATTTTTTCATGGCTTTATGGTTTCAATTAACTTCTCTTCCGGTATTACCAAGCTCTTTATAAATTCTATAAAATACGATTGATCATTAAAGTTACTTGGATAACTGTAATCAAACATACATTACGCCCGATAAAAATCTAAAAGACGCCGATGTAATACTATACTTATACTATACTATAATTGCGTTTCTACATGAATTACAGGATAAATTTCCAGCGATCGAATCTCTCAAGTTCTTGCTTACAAATCATAATTGGTTAAAAGAAGGAAAGTTAAGATGTTTCTGGGGAAGTAAGGAATAGAAAATTTGTCAATAATTGTAATATTTGTCTCAAGGCTTTCGTGGTCATTGGTACAATCCACTTGCGTTGCTTCTAGAGATACGCCACGTTGAAATATTACAATCCACTTAAATTGCTTGCAAATTGCAATGTTTGCGAAACGTTCGCAGAACGCTGATTTAAGACGCGCCATACTTCCAGAAACACCGCAAATGAATTGTAATATTCATGAGTGTAATATTTCAACATAATAACTCCATAAATATTCCGTCTTTCGACTGCCATTGTTATTACTGTTCACTTTTTTATTTTTTTTATTTTATCTTATTTCTTTCATTTTTTATTTCATTTTTATTTCTTTATTTTATTTTTATTTTATTTTTATTAATAAAAGAAAATATATGTTTACTTTTTGGGAAGTACACATAGAAGGTAAATTTTATTTCCAACGTACGTTCAGAGTTACTGAAAACTAGACATATTAATTTTTGTTTTCTCACCACGAAATTAGTTGCATCTTTATTAGTTCAAGAAAACGTCTAATGATATCACTGCTTGTCGTGTAACCGAACATTTGCGAAACGCGCCCGTTGTTGCTGATTTTCCGTCACGTTTTATTCCGGCGTTAAATTACCAGCTTTCGATACACACGAATGCACTAAAAAGAAGAAAGAAAAGGGGCGCATGAGGGCTCGAATGTCAAGTAGCCGATTATGGACCACTCTCTTCTCGTTGCTTAACTACGAAGGATTAGCACGAAACTGGTTAAAGTTCACGTTGAAATCCATAGTCTCCGATTAGCTTGTTTGAGGGAGGTGGAGATGTAGGTGTGTCGCTTTAGGAAATAGCGAACGGTGCGTACGGGTAAAAGTACGTACGCGTTTCATTACACAATGCATTTGAGTGTGGTCTCCGGTCTCCCAAGTCGATACTGGCAAATTGGATCAGTCGGTGCTCAGTCGGGAGAACTCGTGGTACACCTCCGGTATACTTATATTCGCGATAGCTAACGCCGCTAATGTAGTTCTGTCTGGCTCCAATACTTACTATTCGCTCTTTAAGCGTTCGAACAGTGGTGAAGCCTTGATCTGCACTTTAGATTTTAAGCCTGTGAATATGAGGTGAGTAATCGATACCAACAAACAGTATACAGTCAACTGACAATTTGTCGCAATTGACGTTTGAATACAGGGAGGTTTGATCAGTTTAGAGAAACATACTTCTTAAAATTCGTAAGTTAAATATTTCAAGGACACAACGTTTGCAGTCTGTCATTCTTTAGCTGGACAATGTTCCTCCCCAGTAAGCAAGGAACATTAAATGAATCTTTTATAATATTGATTCGATATGGATTTTATAAATATATTGACGTAATATTTTATAAATGTTTTCAAACTCTTACTTGATAATATTTAAATGTTCCGGTCAAATATTGTTAGTATTAACGTTGTATACAATATTAAGAAATACATATTTGAGAACGTTACATGCTATAAAATATCATTATAATAACGTTGTGTTAACGATCTCTTGCTAACTGGGTTGTACTAAATAATATTTTATAAACGAATTTAACAAAACACAAATGTTTCGTAACTCTCGCACGTTAGAATTTAGTCATTTTCACTTTTCGAAAGAAATGATGTTGCCTCGGAATGACTATGTCTGATTTTCTTATTCTTTCTCTCCGAAACATTTCGAGGAACGTGTATCTTCTTGGCCTCTCCTATTTTCTATCCTATTATCCCAAGTTATCTAAAGCTTAAATATATTCTTTCTCGAATAAATATTAATTCGAGCACCTGTTCGTTCATTGTTTTTCCGTAGTTACGTCGCGCTTGTTGCGATCATTCTACCACTACTGTACGGCAGAGCACGGGCGGAAAAGTTAGAAACCTTGGCCCAATGGTCGTTACTTGATTTTGCGCTGCCGTACGATCATGATTTTCACGATCAATATCGGCCGGAAAACGTGGTGATGACCGGCATCGAGATAGACTGCGATCGAATTTTTATCAGCACACCTAGATTACGCGCAGGTGTGCCGGCCACCTTGAGCTTCATACCGAGGAATGTACCTTTAGGAAGCAGCCCGCAACTTCAGGCATACCCTTCGTGGGACTGGCACGGTGCCGGTAAAGGCGAAATTAACTGTACTAAGTTAATTTCAGTATACAGAACCAGGCTGGACAGGTGTAACAGATTATGGGTCGTTGATGCCGGTGTCGTAACGTCAATCGATGACTTTATGCCCGTTTGCCCACCGAAAATTGTGGTCTTCGATTTGAAAACCGATGAGGTGGTGCGTTACTTCACTTTTCCACGCGAGGTAAGACATAACATTTTTTTATGATGAAAAAAATGAATACATCAATGAGTAATAGATGAGCTTACAATAGTACATTTATAATTAAGAGGAACCTGATAATGAAATAAGTTTAGTTGTCATTTCCTCTCAAGCACATATACACGCATTTTAATAATGCCTTTAAATGAACAATTAGAAAACATTCATACTTCCGCGTTGATTGTTTCTCTATATTTAAATATACACATATTTGATATAATAATAAAGATATATATGTATCTTTTATGAATCAAAAAATAAAATTCGATCATTATATTTTGCAATTTTCCTTCATACAAAAATTCGAGAACAAAAGCATTAATAATAAATTAACTTCTTTTAAGTTTGTTAATTGCTTTTTAATTTGTTTCCTAAATTTCTTCTAATTTCTAATTTTTTTAAATCTGTAGTTAAATTAACTATGCACAAATTTATTAAGATAAAATACCGAATAGTGCTCATTTGCTAAAATTCATATACTTGTCATTTCTTTCATGTCAACTTTGTCGATGTTAATGTTAACTCTGTCAATTATGCAGGACGTACACTTTACATCAATGAATTATTTGTTTACACTGAAGACAATAAATTGATATTTCACCCAAAAATTAAGACAAAAATTAAGACAAAAATTAAGACAAAATTAATACAAAATTTAAGACAAAATATTTTGACTGATACAATGTATAAATTTATATATGAGTAGTACTTATATGTAAATTTTCAAATTGTTTCAATTGTTCGCTTTGTTTGAGTAGGTGCATTATTGTATATCAGTAATGCAAAGAGAACGTTGAAAGTGACGAAATCATCAGTGAATGGCCAATGGGATCGTTTTAATTTACAATTATAGTATAACAGAAAACCGGTTATGTTGCTTTATATAGCTAGCGGCGAAGGAACGTAGAATAAATATGTAAATATGTGACACTGTTTTACCTTAGAATAGAAAACAAGTTGCATTTATGTCATTCTTGTGCAGAATTATATAAAAATATTTAATTTAAGCAATTATTACTGTATAACTTGTTTTAGGTTCTAAGACCAAATACTTTGTTGACCAATCTCGTCATCGATGAAGTTTCAGCAAAAACATGTGACGATGTATTTATTTATATGACTGATACACTCGGTCCAGGTTAGGTTTACTATATTCCTTTCCTTAATGTAACTTATTAGTATAAGTATTTTAGGTTAGATTAAAAATAAATTTCAAATACAGAGGCAATCTTACTAATCCTTTCAAAAATCATATATTTTTTATTTCGAGATATTGACTGTTAATCGATATCAATTGATGCCGCTGCATATGTATAACAAGCTTTAGGCATAAAATTTAGATAATTATATTTTTCTTAAATATCTATGTTGAAAATAAAAAAATGTGTCAATATATTTTTAGGAATTCTCATTTTCGACGGTGCTACGGATAAAAGTTGGCGGCTTCTTCACGCATCGATGTTTCCTAATCCAGATGAAGGAATGATCAAGGTATGTATATATGTTTGCATAAGTATGAGTGTTTGATTATTTATATAATATAAGAAAATATGGCAAATTTATGAGTAGTAAAAATTGGCGTAACTTGATAAAATTACTGGAAGTATTTGTGAGATACGCTGCAAGCACGAGTATTCGTGTAAACCATCCGGGAAAAACTGACTATATATGATTATATATAATTATATAAAATCATATATGAATTTTGCTCATATATGTGGTTATATATGTTTACACAAAAAAAAAGATGTTATGTTATTCAATAAAATGTCGATATCATGTGCTGATCAGAAGCGCAAGTAGCCAGAAGCATTTATCTCGATTGTATTTGCATATAATTTGTAAGCAACAGTATCTTTTTGTCGTTGACATATATGATTATATATACTCATATATGGGCAAATTTCATATACAATTTTTCTTTCTCCGGGTAAATAATAATACATAATCAATACCTAACTAATTATATTGTTTTTATTGATTTGATGTTTACTTTTGAGCAATGTTAATTTTATAATGTCATATGTACAGGTACAATTCTTTTTCTAAATTCCTTTTAACACGTATATATTTCTGTTATTAAACGGACGTTTAGATCGGAAGCGACACCTTCGAGTTCCTGGATGGTGTGGTGGGCATAACGTTTTCGCCGAATCTTGGGACCGTATATTATCAACCTCTGGCGACCAATCGTATCTTCAGCGTGCCCACATCAGCGTTGCAAGCCGGACCGCTACCTTTCGGTGAACAGTTACCTGTGACCTTAGTTGGTAGAAAGTCGAGTCAAGGTCTGGCACTGGCCGTGGATCCTCGAGATGATTCAATCTTGTTCGCTCCCTTTACTGAAACCGCGATCGCATCGTGGCAACCGCAAACAAATCAACAGAGGTACTCCGACCGAATGTTTCTCTAATTAAGTACTAAATTATTTTCAAAAACATATTGTAACACAATATTGACTTGATAAGTGAGACGAAGCTAAAAGTATTACGTCACACACACGCACACATACATATATACACACATGTGCGCACGCATGATGTTAATTTCCTATTGTAAAAACTAAATAATAGATCCGTACGTTCATACTAATGACAAAATAATTCTATGGTATACTCGCTGTAAATTGCACGCTTGCTATAAATCGCTTGTGTTATTAAAACCGCTTCTACGTTTGATAAAGTTAGTTTACGGATTAACAGATATGCGCATATTCATTCAACGCCGAAATTTGTGACAAATATTAAACATAAAAATTATACATAATTATGTATAGAAATTTATTAAGAAGACTAAGTATAGTAAAAGTTTTATATCATTTATTTTATACGGTAATTTCTGACATATAAAAAAATGAATAAAGTATAAATTATTATTTTGTATAGAATATTATATTTTATATATAATATTGTATATAATTATGATCATATGTGTGATCGCAAATGTTATTTTTTCTTCATCGTTTTTCAGGATAATCGTTTATAGCCCAGAAGAATTGCAATTCATTGCCGAGATCAGATGGGTGGAACGCGACAATGGTAATTTTTGGTTGATGTCGTCGAAATTCCATAAATTCTACATGAAACAAGTCGACACTCATCAAATTAATATCCGCATCATGAGGATCAGAATGGACCACCAGACACCGATCTCCGCACTTTATACTCAATACATTAATCCATATTTTCCATTACATTTCTACAATGAAACTTTACAATACTAAAATGGAACATTGATGTAATGGTGTCAAAATTGTAAACATGGTGAAAGCATTTGCGATAGGGAATAGAAAATGAGCGTATCAGTGGACAAATTATCGATGAAACTTCTCAGAAAAATCTTAAGGCGCCCTAAGACGTCATTGAAAAACGTCTTTGAAATAATAAGACATCTAGAGGACATTTCCGAGACGTTTTTTACACGTACGTATGGATGGTCTCTCTGAAAAGAGAATCTTACATAATTATCGCTGCAGCGTATAAATTAGACAATTATCGCAATCATCAATTATAGCGTTTAATATGTTAAAAACAGCGTTTTAAGCGTTTAAAACTACCTTTCTTCCTGGTTTGCAAAAGTTAACGAGTTATTTTTCCTTTTTGAAGAATTTTCTAATATTTTGTTTACCTCTCAAAGATAAGTTAAAGATAAAGAATTATTATTAGTCGGACGTGTTCTTTTCTTTTTAAATTTATATACAAAACGGAGATCAAGTGTGTCAGGATATTTAATAATAATCCCAGAATTCTGTAATATTGCTTTTTTTTATTACTGTAGGATATTTTTGTAGGAGTTTTATACTAATTTCCAGTAATGTTTAATAAGAACTATTTTTTATTCACGAGTTGTCTGATTTTGCCTAGTAACTAGATTTAACTCAATATTGCCAGGCTTGCAAATTCTTCAGTACGTAATAACGACATTCGCATTCTTTTATAATTTGTATGAGCGATCCGACATAAATATCTTACGTCGTCGGAAATTTACATTTATAAGGGTTCGATTTGCAATATTTTGTACAATAATGTATTATACTATAATTATTAATATTAAATTTTACAAGCATATGTTATTTTATATACGAGCACACTTTTGAATAATTTTTCTTATTTAACATTAATACAATATAATAATATAATTCACATCCAGATATTTGTATATAAATTTATATTGCACGAAAGAACTAAGGACGATATAATGAAAAAATAATAGTTCATAGATGTACAAAGTAAAATCATAAAGTAGACATGTATATGTATTTTGATGTGCGTGTAAACGAGTTCGAGTTTATTTAAAATACGCTCACACATACAGAATCACAGAAATATGTATAGTATATTATAGATATATAACAAATCAATTTTTCATGTAAATGTTAAATCGAAACGAAATAACTCTTACCACAACATTTCTGTGTACATATTTCTACATAAGATATTTATGATTCTTACGCGATACTACTTCCTACTTTATATTTACGATTCATTTATACTTTATATTAAAATTATTTTTATGATTGTATTTATGATTACTCAATACCTCAATATTTATAATTACGATTACGACTTTTCAGTTGTTTTACAATTGTAAATCTTCTTAAGCAGTCTCACGTTGTCCAAATATGTAACACTCGCGCTGTAATATTTTTCAAGAGCAAATCAATTGACAAGTTTACGATTTCGTGTTGATACGCAGCGACGTTCAGTCTTCCGGTGTTAAATCTTCCAGTATCTTGTTATTTTATAACAAGAAAAAGCCCAGTCATTATTCTATGTCAATAATTTTTTATCTACTTCATTTTACTATACTAATCGCGAACACGGTTTCGTTTCAACCGTATTTAACGGTTTAATCGAAGGTACAATAAATTTCGTTACTTTATGGAGACGTACAAGCGCCAGCTGTATGTAAATAAATTGCGAAGCGAAGAATGTGCCGCGTGTAAACAAATCGCAAACTGAAGATTACACAGTTGTCTCAACATTTTTATTACGTGTTTCGCAAAAATTCTAACTTTTAACAAAAGAAACAACTATATCGAATTTAGCGGGAATTCTTATCGAATTGACGTTACGACCTATCACAGTTAAAAAATTTGGAATTGGTGACGACCACAAAAATGGTCACGAGCAAAGTAATCCCAAATTCTGCGTGTACTGGAGCAATACTTGTGCGCAAGTCAGACGCGAAATTCAGTTGCATATTTTATTTACCGTTCGACCAACGGTTTTGCTTCGACGATTACGCCTCAGTTTACGATCACGAAGGGTTAAATGCGAGGGAATGGGAAGAATTCTATAAACTTATCTTCGAGCCGACGCTGCTCAGCGCGAACCGGATCTTCCGGTATCTGCATCCGCTGGGAGCCGCACCCAATATATTGTTAGTTTCGTCAAATCTTTCAAAGAATATTTATCGTATTGATTTCCATCTTGGCTAGTAAAAATGTTTATTTATAGTTTTCACAAATAATGTATTTATAAATATTAGTGTTAATCTATATATATGTATATTTGATAATATTATTTTATATGTTAGTTGTGTAATGTAATTATCAATGCAGCAACTGTATCCATACGAGATACGTGTCTTATAAAATAGGTCAATGAAAATAAATATGAGAATATCTAACGATTTGAATCGGAGGTGTTCTTATGTTTATATTATTGCTGCTGATAGAATTCTAGAGATAGCTGTTTTAAGACATACAAACATGCGACTAATATTTCGATTTGTATTCGTTGGATCTCTTAGTTACGGCAAATTTTTAAATATGCAATAAAATCAGTTATTGATTTACAGAAGGTTCTCTGATATATAATTAAATTCCTCTCAAATATGCTGCTGGCGTCGTTAGGACAAAGGTACTGATATCTCCATGTTACAATGACTCAATAGCAATAAATATCATATACAGTCCCTGGCCACATTATTAGACGCACCTTAATATTTTACAATTCATTGACTTCCGAAGATCAGCTTTATAATACGGCTCGCCTTTCAGACGAATTATGTTAAAGAATCATTGTTTTCTAAAAAATATTTTTTATGGTGTCATTTCACTTAGCTGTTGCAACGACCTTGACCAAGTATGAATCCACGCTAGTTGCATCATTGATAATAACGAGACGTGGGTTTTGAGTGTGTGTCAATTTAATTTCATTTTCGTTTATTTGTGACTTGAAACATCAAATTCTTTGCTTACCGACAGAAAAATACATTTTTGTGTAAAAAATACTAATATCGTTGACAAAAATTATGAGTAAAACAAATGATCTGACACCTCAGGAGATTGCAAAGGTAAAAGCGCTGATTGACACCGAAAATGATTCTAATCGAGTAAACATAATATTAGTAGCTTTTTTTCTCCTCCTAACCTGTATTCTATTAAAGATCAAAGTGCGTCTAATATTGCCAGGGACTGTAGATAAACGTTTGTTACAGTTATAACGGTTCATGATGATAGTAATTACGTGATGAAAAATCTATGTTTTGCAATTTAATAGCAGTAACGCAGTAGATAGCAAGTTCTTCTTTGTCCAATCAGATTTTTTTCTTATTTAAAAATTCCCGATCGTTCGAGGAAGAGATAAATGGGTCGTCTGAAACGGTACATCTCAGCACTCCGCAACGTTAAGTCAACGTTATGGTCCATAAAATTGCATTTAGTCAAACGTGGTTGCGTCTGCCTTCAAATTCCGGAGATATTCTTATTTCACTTTATCATGGAAATTACACGTTGTGTCAGATATTACGCGTGTCGAGCAGGAAGACGCAATATCATAAAAGAATAATAAAACGGGAAATACGCGCTCCAACGTGTAAAAGGTAAGGTAATTCCGTCTTTTCTATGATAACACGATATTTTTTTTCTACGATAACGCGGTTATTGTGATTCACATCTTTTAGCGCTTATCTGCTCAAAATAATAGTAAAATTTGTTAGTTACAACAGTTTGAGCATTAATTTATATATTAATATATTTGATAATCACTCTTACACAATAAATTTTAAGATTAAAGAGTATTATCTAATATTCCAGATATAAAACATTCTCTAATATCCGCTGTTCAGAACAATTGAAAATTACATTAAATAAATAGTTCGATTGTACAGTTGCAAAAGATTGAAAAATCGAAATATCGCAAAAATAAAATCTAGTTAGTTTACACAAATATTTACTATGCGATACTGACATTCGAAAAATAATCTCGTAATCGTTTTCTGCCGCGCATTTTCAGTTAAAAAATTACACATAACTTGTGCATATTTTGTGTATATGCGTTATTCGTTTGTATCTGCGAATCCAATTTAAATATTGATAATATTAACACATTAACGGTGGGCGATCTCGACGAAAGTAGAGCGCCTAGAGCGGGCGATATTTTGTGTGATCATAAAAACTTTAAGGTACAGTCGAGCTAAATCGTATTACTACAACTCCCGCCTTTAAGCCGCAGTCGAGCTAAATCGTATTACTACGACTCCCGCCTTTAAGCCGCAGTCGAGATAAATCGTAGTACTACGACTCCCACCCTTAATGTGTTAATTAAAAATGAATATTGAAATATTTTGTGTATTGCGTTTTTTTGCTCTTACTTAAACAATGATTACGTTATAATATAAGTTATTAATATGCGTGACTAAAAATATTAATAGTCGTTGATTCCTCCCATAGGCGTTATTTATTCTTGGTGGTGATAGAAACGAAAAATCATTCTTCTGCTTTATCCGGATGCAATCGCCGTGAGCATTACGCATTAGAATCTCCCATAATGACTAATGCGTTGACTGAAAACGGCCCACACGCAAACTCTATATATGCATATACATACGTACATACGCAATTTTCGTTTATCGATTACACGAAGAAGAGTATACAATCGACAAAGTCACATTACTAGAAAAACACA